ATTGTCAAAATCATTAAACTCATGATTTTAATGGTTTATCAGTGGGCCCATTAAATGAAATATCACTCGATCGCAAACTCGATCAACCCCTAATCTTCACATTGGTATCTCGAAATATCTTCTCGAATACTTAAATTGTCGACAACTCAATAACATTATTCAATCGAGCTTTGCGTGCTCGCTAACTTGCGACATTCTCACGCGCATTACTTACATCGATCATCGATTAGACTTATGATTTACTAATTGATAGAGCAGTTAGTTAATTTCAATGAGCAAATCCTATCCCGTCGCGTTTATTAGTCACCAGCGATGCTAACAACGATTGCAATTTCAAGCGAAAGGGTGTAAATTTTAATTGACTACGTACCGTGACGAGTAGAGGCTCGTGTGCGCTGACATACCACATTGGCAATATGTTTTCCACACGAGCGATACAATCGAGTGTAATGGCTCGGCGGCATGCGAGCTATCAAGAGACTATTGAACGCTCGATAAGGACTTTCGGAAAAGTGACTTCACTCCCCGTGAGCCATTCATCGTCAATTTAAGGGCGCATAATGAAGCGGATCCGCTTGCGTCTGTCGTTTGATTCGTCCTAATCCCCGCGTGAAGAAGGGGGCTCGGGCCAGTCGTATTGACAAGACGATTCGACGTGCCGTTTCACTTTACCGGGGCAGCACTCGCCAACGCTTGTTCTCATTGTTCCTAGCCCATGTTTTATGGACTTGGGAGTTTGGGAGCAGAGTTCGCTCCTCGTGAAATTCAATGCGCCGTATAATGAGTGTTGTCGCTAGGGGTCGCGAGGGGTGCTAATGAGCAGACGGGGTTGGAGAGAGGATCATTACGGAATGCATTAGTAGACTTTAAATTGGCCTATGTTATGTTTACCAGCAAATGATGTAAGTGTATAGAGGACGGAAATTGTAGGACAATTGCACAATGAATATCGGTCGCTACGACCCATTCGTTTTTTAAAAAATACAGGCTATTTTACCAGTAGATTATTATAATGTTTTGAGTTAATAGTTTTAAATCAATTAACTTGTATTACAATTTGATTGAATTTTTCGAAAAGAACTTTTCGAATTTATATTTTTATTTTTTCAAGATATCGAATCGTAGATGCATTTTATTCTTGAATTTGGTGAGAATCAATAAATATGTTCTCTGATAAGTTGTTTAATCACGAACAGACCTCCTCGTTTACGGTCTTATTCGCTTTTCAACGCTTATTTTCATTTTGTTCTGCTTATTTCAAATAAGAAAAATAGTTCAATATCAATAATAATTAAATTGAGGATTTTTAAGATTTTTTTTGTTTTTGTTTTTTTTTTTTTTTGTTTTTTTTTGTTTTTTGTTTTGTTTTTTTGTTTGTATTAGATATACAAAAATTGTACCGCCGGTATTTTGAAATGGAACGAAAGTTGCATTAAAAGCTTTAGCGCTTTCAGTAATTAAGAAATATTTTGATAGCAATTACATAACGACTGAATGTATACTAAATTAAATGTCATTTTGTTTATAAACATAGTCATTCTTTTGTTTAAAATATTACGGAGCATTAATTAACTTTGTCAGTTACGAAGTAAACATAAGATTTACATGTTTAAAAACATTCAAATTCATATCAATTAATTAAATCTTTTATTAAACATAAATAAATTGCAGCTAATATATTGATTATTAACTATCTATATACGTATTGTATTAAATAATTTTCATTAACATTAGATGAATTATATTAATGTGAATTAAAAATTAATTGAATTTATTTTGAAATAAAATGTAAGGGAGCTTTTTCATCAAAATTGCAGAACAATAACATTACTTATTAAATTTTGATGAGATATGAACAGTTTTAAAAGATTTTTATGCTATGGAATTTCCATTACAACAATTTATCAAATCAAATTGAATTATTGATAATGACACTGAGGTTTCTTCATGATCAGTTCATATATTTACAGACTTACAATTTTATTAAGGTCAATTGCACAATTTTTCAATTCTCCTTGAAAGTTAGCCGATGCAATTTTATCGAACACGAAATTTAAATTACTAAAAAATCACGATCATTACTATCACGAAAGAGCATTCATTTAAATTAATTTTAAGAAATTATTCCTCAACTCATATTGATATAAAACTTCGACAATCTTCTAAAACAATTTTAGTATTGCTCTGTCGCTTATAAAAACAAATTCATTTTATATTTAGAAAAGCATAGCTGATCAAAGAATGTACTTAATGCACTTTATGTTGATTTTTGCGTTGGCAAAAATAAATTTCGGTCAAAGTGCCGAGATAATATCGACTAGTAATGAAGTTAATTTGGATGCGAGTATTGAAACGACTACTTATTCAACATTGAACGAAGAAGTGGATCTAGAGCCGTTGGATATTCCTGAATATGAATTATATGTAAGCCTGATAGGAATAAAAAATTAATAATAATAATGATGATAATAATGATAATAATAATAATAATAATGATAATAATAATAATGATGATGATGATGATGATGATGATGATGGTGATAATAATAATAATAATAATAATAATAATGAAAGAGCTCAAAAAATTACGATTTTTACATTAGTATTTTAAAGAATTCTACAGAAAAATTCGAATTTTTGTATTACAATACGTTTGTACTGATTTTGATAAGTAGTAATTAAAAAGAATATAAAATACTTTTATCTTTCGTCATTGATGATTTTTAATAATGTAACGTACAACTATTATGTTAAAGTTAGATTTTACCGAATTTCCATCAATATTTGAAATAATATTAATAATAATTTTCATTTTGCCATGGCTTAACAATTTTTTCACAAAGTATTTAGGACACTGAATTAATCATTATTATTGAAATACTTCATATATATAACAATTTTTTTTACTCAAACATAATCAAATTTATCAAAAATATAAAAAAAATTTTGTATTTTTCTTTCTTTTTTTATATTAATTATAAAATTTCATAATTGCGTACTATTGCAGTTTTATTAATAGAGAATTTATAAAATGATACTCCTAACATCATTAATAATAGTATATAATTTAAAATAATTAAAAGCTTAAACTTCACAATTTAACATTATTAAATAATTACGAATGTAAAAACTTGGATATATTTTGGCTAGTAAAATGACTTGTTTGTGAATAATGAAATAATCTAAAAGTATTTGTATTTTCTAATGACTATTGTTTAACTTTAATTTCGAAAACACGAAGATTTAATAATGACAATCAATAAATCTATTAAAAATTATTAAATATATCAAATTAATGTGTATAATCATATAAGCTTCTTAACCAATACAAAAAAAAAACAAAAAATAAACAAAAAAAAAAACAAAAAAAAATAGTAAAAAATATTAAAATTTAATTAATCAATGCGTGTAGCTATATTTTGCAAAGCTATAAAGAGATATGAACGCTTTTCGAAATATGGTACGTTCTTGAATTTTCCTGATTATCCAGATAACTCCTCGATATGTGTTAAGGCATCGAGAATGGAATTGCTGAGTGTAAAAGTTTCGATAAAATTGGCAATAATCTTTGCGCTTTTGTAGGATTTCGATGACGATTTCACCTCGCCGAGGACAACGACCATCGATAGACCCGACACTTTCTTCTTGAATAGCGGAAATGGTATGCGTCTGGGCGAGGACGATGACGAGGATGAGGACGTCGAGACAAACGAGGCCGACAACGCAAAGTATGATAAGCAACACAATTTATTGCTCTATCTCATGGATCTGCAATTATTGCCGAAGATTCATGTTATCGACAATCCGCTTCGAGTACGTAGAGCTCCAATGTTTTTACTCGTATAATCATCGATTACGAATTACGTTGTTTACGTAACTATTGGACGTATACGAATTGCTTTGTGATGAAACTTTTGTTATTAATAATTTCATAATTTCTGGCTCCCATTTCCAATTAGATTTTCTATTGTTACCTTTCATCAGTGTCCTCTAAACGCATATTCTTAATTCCTTTGCCATCAATATCATATCTCCATGTTTATTTAAATTTGTTTATAAGGCAACATTTTTCTTTTCTTTCTTTAATTGAGAAACGAAACGAGTAATTTTATAATAACTAAGGATGATCAAAGATACCGTATGACTAGAAACTTCGCGTTAACAAGTCCAATAATATCATTGGAATATAATGGTTATTTGATTTTAATTATATCGCAAAAACAAGCTGTTTAATCATTTCAATTGAATAATTGCAGAATAGTTAATTACCATATTGGCGTCCGTTTAAACGCCATAATAAACCACTTCGTTGCATATAGCGATTACGATTGCGTGCGTGCGATATAGAAACGATGTGGCTTAACGTCTATTTTACGGCGGAAAATACAATATTCTAATGGTAGGATTAATTTGTCTCTTGCTAACGATATGCAATCCCATAGGGGATTAACGTTAAAATCGATCGATACCGATCGATAGCGATTGGCTTACTTATTTAACATGAGGCGGGGGGTATTGCATGATCTAGCATCGTGAAATTAAATTCTAACTATTTTGAAAGTACCTGCGGGCGCTGCTTAACATTGCCGAGATCGTTATAAGATAATTTCCTCGATGTTATATTCGTCATAATGTGCATCAATATGTTAATGCCGGAACATAATTTTCAAGTCATTTATAATTTTAATTGTATGAAAGGAAATTACGGTGAGAACGGCAGCCTTGTTAGTAAGGGTAATTGGGGTAGAAGGGTCGTTAAAACTTAGTGGGTGGTGCGCAAGGCCTTGATGGTTCGAGGGAGCAGAAATTTGACAGGTAAATGAACAATATAACGAGCGTATCAATTGAAACAGGTAGCGGCGATAAAATTCACGTCGAGTATGGCGACAAGAGCCGCATCGAAGCTGCAAATGCTGAGGAATATGATGAATGGGAGCGAGAGGCCACACCAAAGGTTTTCCACTGAGGACTTGAATTAAAAATTAAACCACACGGGACAATTTAATAAAAGAAAGGTATTTTTCGTTTATTGAATAATCATAAGCGTATATAGCCGCCCTCGGTGCCCGAGAGACACTCGCCTTAATCACCTACTTAGCGTTAGTTTAAAAAAAAAAAAAAAAAAAAAAAAAAAAAAAATATATATATATCGAAGAACTTGATCGTACAAGGTCGACCGCTCAATCAGGGGTCGTGCACGGTCTTGTAGGTGACCTTGCCGTTGTCGTTGATGCCGATGGTAGCGGACTTGTGAGCGATCTGCTTACCGTCCGGACCCGTTGACGAACTGGAGCTCGAGCTGCTGAAGACGCCGTACTGCTTGCCACCCGGCGGTGGAATGTCCTCGGCGAAGCGCGAGAAGATACCAGGAGAAGCCTTCGCAGAGAGAAACAAAGAAGTTATCGTGGCATTGTCAATACGAAATTTGTATCCCACAGAGTTGCCCCGGTGCTCTTAAAGCCAGACGCCGCGAAATCCCACGAGTTTTACATTTAGTTTTGCCAAATAATTATCTTAATACCACCCCCCCCCACCTCCCCGTATCCCCTCTTCGTCCCTTCTCGAGGGCATAACTTTAATGCCTCGTAAAAAGAATAAATTTTAATTTGAATTTTAAGATGCCGGCGCTTCACAGCCACCTTCTGATGCCGATGTCATCGATGCTCCCGATGGAATAGGCAAAAGACAATATTCGTCTGGTTCATCCGTTATTAGATTAAGCGCATACATAACATTGTAAGGGGATAGAGTTAACGACGGTACTTATCGTATTGCAAATAAAGGCTCTCTCGGATTAATGAAACGTTAGCGGTGTCAAGCGGCTTAATTGAATTATATCTTACCGGGCTTATATGGGCGGCTTGGAAGCCGCCATTTGGTCCAATGCTGGCAGTAGCGAATGCGCCTTGTGGTCCGTTGGAAGGAGAACCGCCGTAAGCGCCAAAATTACTATCCACCTGATTACTTTGTTCCCAAATTCTGCTCAAGTGAATAAGGTAGCTTTATTATTGAGTTGTTGAAAAATGAGAAGATAATCGACAGCGTCACCTTACGCAACTATTGTACCTGAATAATTCATTATCAGGGATGAGGCGAGGTTATCGCGCATTTTATCATTGTTCTGGCACTCTTACAAAGCGAATAGATGTGCGCGTCCATTTAACGTCCCGATTGTATGAAAGGTTGGGCAATTATGTGACAACGTTGTATGATGCATGCATTTTAATAGTCATGTTGTGGAAGTTGCCGAAAATATTGGGCGATTTGTAAAATTTGTATAATTATTAGTGAGGTTCGTGATTCATGCTTAGCCGCGTTTCATCATATAGTTATGGAATGCTTAGTATGCAGCTCGTGGAAGTATTTGTAGTTTACCCATCACCTATTAAGATTCTTATTGCTTGCGTAAGGTAAAGTGGAAACGGAGCTTCTAGAGCCCCCTGAACCGGAACGAGAGTTCACCGAAGTGGAAGGTACATGATTCGACGAGGTATAAGTGTTTACATAAACTTGAGCTTTCGGATCGATCTTTCCTTCATCGTTCGTGATATAGGCACCGGATGAAACAAAACCATCACCACCACCACCACCACCACCACCACCACCACCACCACCACCACCACTTTGAAAATCAAATATATAAGAGTTGATTTTCCGTGAATAATAATATAATAATAATATACGATAATAAAAAAAAGTACGCATCTTTATGTCGTAATGAGAGAATAAGCTAATAGACATTCAAATATACGAGTAGAATATCAAATTGTTACTATTACGCATAATATTATTGTAGTAAATGTTTTAAATTAAAAGATTAAAGGGCATTATTTTTCACACATGACATTGAAAAGATTCTTCTTAGGATAGAGATGTAATGTTTAATAGGAGAATAATGATGAAATCCGTTGATTATAAGCCGGAGAACGATTATAAGTATTATAATAAAATATAAATAATTGATTCTGAGAACGAACCCGAATCTCCAATCGCAACGATTTAATATGTACTACTCACGCTTGGCGTTGCGCATCTATTTGAGCCTGCAATTGTTGCTGAAACGCTTGTTGCTGAGCCTGAAGAGCGGCGAAGTACTGTTGGAAAAATGATTGGAAATCGACGGGATTGGCGTAGCCGGCGTAATTCGGGAGGCTATTGCCGTACGGATTAGATCCATAAGGTGGAGCGCCCGCGTAAACAGGTACGGATGCTGAATAATTTGGTTGATAAGATTGCCCACCTAGGAAATAAGATAAAGAATGTGCTTTTAATGCGCTCGAATATTTGCCTCGAGATTGCTTAAGTTAAAGTACGAAAAATCATTTATAGCTGTCCCAGTCCCCGTCAACGTACAAATATTAACAATTAAATAACTGTACAATGGCAGTACATATTTGATTATTAGACATGAATTGTTGAAATTGTCATTGCTTGTTAAGTTAAAATCGTAAAGATAGATGTATTAACGCTATTGATTAGTCACAGTTGTTTTAACGATAATTTAAGGAAGACATTATTTTGTAAGAACATAATATCACATCAACGGATTAGAGTGAGTTTAGTCATTTAGTTAATTAACGTCAAGCTGCATTAGTATTTACCTATTAAAAAAAATAGTCAAACACAAGTATTATATATTAAGGCAATGATAAAAAAGAAGAAAGAGAAGAGAAAGTGAAGAGAAAGTGAAGGGAAAGTGAAGAGAAAGAGAAGAGAAAGATGAGAAAGATGAGAAAGAAAAGGAAAATGAAGAGAATATTCTCTTACAAATTAATCTACACTTTTGCTTTAGCACATCGATAGCATTATAATAATAAAGCGGATTACATTTCGTATTAATACAACTGCTTAAACAACTCTCCCTTATTGTTAGATTACACTAGTGCTGCGATAATACATAGAATGGTCGTAACGCTCGATCTATGAATATAAAGAATATTTATAAAAGTACTACGAGAGAGACTGGTAAATTGCCTAGAAGTGTGAATAAAGCAAAAAAAAAAAAATAAAAATAATAATAATAATAATAATAATTAAAAAAAAAAAAAATGAAAAATAATGTATATCGATAGTGACGCGAAGGGGTTGTCGTTCACTAGAATTCGTCACCAATCGTCTCTTCTTAATCCGGCAGATAGTATAGAAGCAGCGATAGTCTTGAAAAAGCTTTTCTCATCCTTCGACATGGAGCATCGTCCTACCTGTTGCCGCAGGGCCGTTAACTTCGATTCCCACGGACTCGCCATCGGAAGCCGGAAAGCTACCGCGAATGCTAACGAAGGAGCCGGTATTCTGGTGGCTCCCTCCAGCTGGGATTGAGCCGCCGTGAGTACCAAACGAGTTGGATGCGCGGTTGTAGCCGTTACCAGGGGAAGTTGAGGTGGAGACGGCGCCACCAGCACCGCCGGCGCTAGCACTGGCGCTAGCGAAACCATTGCCAAGAGTCACGCTACTACCCTCCTCGACTTTGGCATCACTGAAAGCTGGTCCAGTTGGGTGAGGATAATCATAGGCCATGGGAGCTGGCGCGTAAATGGGACCGAAGCCCCAAGGTGCAAAAGCTGGACTCTGCGCTGGGGTTAGAAAGCCATTGTAGTTTTGGGGAAAGTAGTTATGAGGCATCGGTGGAAGAAGATTCGAGGATGGCTGTTTTGGGATATTGGAGTCGATGGTCGATGGCGCCTCCCCTTCCGGTTTTATTCTGTCACCGATAGTTGGAGTAGCAGCAACAGCAGTTGGCTTGACTTTTTTCTTCGACTTTGACTTGTTAGCCAGTAGGGGCTTAACCGATGGAGTCATCCTTTCTTCTTGCTCGTCGTTGTCGTCATCGTTGTTGTTGTTGTTGTTGTTGTTGTTGTTGCTGCCGCTGCTGTCATTCTCCTCCTCCACTGTAGATGCTGTTATCGGCTCCTCCTCGCTAGATTCGGTAGTCGTAGTTGTAATCTTTCTTTTTATCATTGGCCTTCGCTTTTTGTAAGGCTTTGGCGTACTTGTTGTCGGGATTGGCGTTGTCTCGTCGTCATTCTCCCACTCCGAATTATCTTCCGCGGATAAAGTTGTCGTTTGTTCGTCGCTGCTCTCCTCTTCGACTTCCCGTTTACTTAAGCTTAACACTCTTGCATTATAATGGTCATCTTTGAATGTTTCATCCACCGATTTGCCTTTATAAGTAGAAAATAGAAAAATGCGTTTTTCCAATGATTTATACGAAGCGTAAATATATGTTCTTTGTTAATGCCTGAAGTCGTAAGAAAAAATAAATAAATAAAAATAAGAAAGAAAAAAAAGCAAATAAAATAACGGGAGTCATTATAAATAAAATATAATCATTATAACAGATTAGTCCTCTATTTGTTATTAAATACACTAAATTTAACTAGCTCGGATTAACAATAATTGATTGTTTATGTATGAATCAACGTAAGTAATCACTCGTATAATGGATTATTTTATGGTTGCAAATAAGTTAGTGTAAACAGTTTTATTTTTATTTTTTTTTTTTTTGTTTTTTTTTCTTTTCTTTTTAATACTGCTTTAATAATCTGTGCATTAGCGCCAATTTTAATTGTTTAATGCTATTTTTGTGCTTTATTAAGTATAAAGTAATATGCTCATGACAACTCGTGAATTTCAATAATTTTTTATTAGTAGGGCGATATCTTTTATAGTGATCGTAAAAAACACAATGCAAAGTATATTAATCGAAATGAATACCAATCAACCTCACTACTCAGTTCTATTATTATTTCTATACATCCAAATAAGTGTCAACAATCTCTGATAGGTCGTAAAATTTTTGAATTTCAATCGATTAATTGTAACATTTTTTATTTTCTTTTTATAACAATACATCCTGTTCTTCTAACTTGATAAAACATAAAAATATTACTAATTAATTACTAATTAGATATCAATAATAATTATTATTATTATTGTTTGTGTTTGAGTTTGTTTGTTACTTGGTATGCGCGCGCGCGAGCGCGCAAATGCGTGCATGCGTGCGTGGGCATATGTGTAATGGCTTAAAATCGTTTCATGTTTGTAAATTTATGTACGAAGCATAATAGTGGGTAAGTACGATAGGAAAAATGGATTATTTTGAGAACTCATTTGATTATAATATAATTAGGTATTATAATAAACAAGCCGAATATAAGGGCAACCGAAAATTGAAAAAGTAATTTTTAAATAATGTACTATGTCTATATAAACATATTAAATTCTCGTTGTTTGTATTAAAATAAAATCATTGCCTTAAAAACTGTCACCTATGCATACGTTTGATAACTTGACATTAGTTTACTTTATCTCCACGTAATTATATTTTAATCACTTTAAAATAAATACCGATCGTTTCCATGTAAATACATTCGAACGAAAACGATATTAAAAAGTAGGTTAATATGAAAAAGAAAAAAATGTAAAAAAAAAAAGGAAAAATAACGTCGGAAATAAATATCCTGTGTATGTCCGTCACGAGGAATTTAAGAAACAAAAATGGAATAGAGCACCGCGAATGCGCGTGCGTTAGCGACAGAGAGAGAGAGAGAGAGAGAGAGAGAGAGAGAGAGAGAGAGAGAGCGAGTGAGAGTGAGTGAGGGGCAGGGAGGGAGGGAGGGAGGGAGGGAGGGAGAGCGAAATTGTCAAGGTGAACACTCGAGGAGATCATCGCGGTACTGGGACGTCCGGGGGCCGGATATTATCCGAAGAGACAATTTTTACGCGCCGTCGCTCATCGTACGTACGTGCACATACAGTGTACCTTTGTAGTTGTGCGAGCATAATGAGAATTTATTATTTGCACACACAGTATCTGGATAAAGAATCTTTTTTTTTTCTTTTTCTTTTTTGTTCTTTCCTCGTCGGCAATAAATATGTGCGATGATATTGAAAGTTCGCGATGCGCCATTAGTAAATCAGTATTATTAGAATGCTTTTATCTATTATTATTGCTTAATGTTGAGAATTTACTGACATAAATATATTCCATATATAATTACAAAATGCCCGATATTTTGATCGAAGAGCTAGCTAGAATATATATATGTATATATATATATATATATGTATATATATTTGTTTATTTTTTTTTTTAAATAGCCTTGCGCGAATCTGCATCGGCCAAAACGATTGGCTCGTGACTCTTAAAGCCATTGGCACAGAGTCACATTATTGCAATTCACATATCCGAGAAACGCGTTATCGTTATATACTTAATATACTTTTTCTTCTTTCTTTCTTTCTTTCTTTCTTTCTTTCGCTTTAAAAAGCAATGTTTCGTCGATCCTAAATTAAAATCTCCGTTGTTTAAAAAGAAGAAAAGAAGAGGGAGAGGAGCAGGTGGAGGAAGCGTTTAAGTTACGACGGAATTATCAATGAGAAAAATTCAATACTATAATCACAAATGCAATAAATTATCGCGAGTATGATAGAAGCGTCCTTTGCTTAAATCGCTTGGCTGCAATATTATTTTCGCTTATTCCTCGGATGTGCAGCGTATTGTGTATTAAAACGCTCTAGCCCCGATGAATGTCGCCGCGATAGTGGCTCGAGAGGGCTGAACAAGAACAGCTATATACTCCAGCCATCCCAGTTAATCGAGAAAAAACGAAGCGTAATAATAATCGCGGCCGACTCGAGGTCCGAGTCGTCCTCGAGCCTCGGACTTGCCAATGCCGCGCGCGACAGCAAATAATACGCGAAGATTGCGAAGATAGCCGATGCATTACGAGCATCGAGAGCATCAGGAGCCTTCACAACCACCACTCGTTATCCTTCTCGATTTACTGGGCGGACGGGGCGATGAGCGCGATCAACTTGGGCATCATCCTCCCGATCCGATCGCCAGCGACTCTTAGAGCTGCAGAATACGACGAGAGCCGCGCAACTGCAAAAACGAGAGTGTCGCGACGCTAAGCCAACCGATCGACGAATGCCAAGGGGAGCAATAAAGCGGCGGCACTGACTCGCTGAGCGACACTCACATGTGGCCAATTGAATTCCAAGGAGCAAAAGGACACCGACGAGGCAAGCGTTACGACGAGCCTTGGCAGCCATGTTCCAGTAGCCGCGGCGGCGCCGATCCGAAAATACAAAAGACGAGCGAAAGCTTCGTACGGGGCTGCCACGAGGTGTGCGTTGTTAAATCGTTGTTCGCCCGACGGTTCACAACCGAGTGACTAAGTTGCCACGAGTCGCGTTCATCTTATATAGCGTACCGGGGGCATTCGAGCCCCGCTCTGCGTGCACGGGGCCTCTTCCTCGTCGCGAGCCGCGCGTCTCTTCTAGAGACAAAAAATCTCCTCCCGGCCAGCGCCTCCACCTCGGGCCCCACGTGCCTCCTACCGACGACTCCAGACGCGTACATTACGCATACGAACAATGGCGTACATAGGATGTACGGGATGGGCGATTCGGGCCTGCAACGATAATAACGGGAGATATCGGGGGTGGGAAATACCGACGATGGTCCGACGAGTCCGACGAGTCCGTCGAGCGGCATCGATTGCGGAACCCTCCCATACCCACCCCGCCCCTACCCGCCGCCAATCGCCCGCGCGCCATTCCCGGTCGGAAATTCATTTTTCCGCGTCTGACGCCTTCGTTCGTCGTGTTTCGCTTCCTACGTAATATTTAATTGCTCTGCTGATTGAGACTCGCTGGGCTGCCGCAGGAGCGCCGAACAAAAGCCGAGATTTTTCAAATGTACTTTGAAACTTTTGTCTTTTCCTTTTTTTTTTTTGGTTTTTTTTTTTTTTTGATTTTTTTTTCTTGTTTTTTTGCTTGTTTTTTTTTGTTTTTTTTTGTTTTGTTTTTTTTTGTTTTGTTTTTTTGTTTCTAATTATTCTCGTCAGTCTGCTTCACAATGGCGCCGAATAATTTTTGTTGGATCGTTTTTTCAACCTACCTTTCCCTCTTCCTTTTTTTTCTTCTTCTCTTTTTATTTTGTTTTGTTCTTTCGTTATATCGTTGTTTCAGGGATCACTTTGATCATTTGAGATGTGTTACAAAATTCTTGAATTTTATCGATCGATTCTAAACGCTCGTCCTTTAATCATAGCAATGCATAGGTTAATGCATGACATCTATCACGCCTATGAGGATTTTTTAAATTGTCAATTTACAAATAGTTCAGTGGCTAGTTTAAATTTACGCTTTTATCGATAAGACAATTTTTTATTGGATGCGAAGCTGTTTAATTCAATTACTTAACCGAAATCAAAGTAATTAAGTTTTACATTATTTACGTGATTAACGAATCGTTCGAGGAAGAAAGTTATTAAAAAAATTAATTTAATTCAATGTGGATGAATGGAAAAAATATAATAAATCGAACTCTAGGGGGCAAATGATTCAATAATACGTGCTAATTTTTTTTTTTTTTTACCTTTATTATAATGAAATGTCAGCATTTCATTAAAATTAGGACGTTGAAAGGTGTCGATAAGCTTGAATGCTAAATACGTGAAAAGCATAGATATTGAGAATATATTAAACATGAAATTTAAGTGAAAGACAAAAAGTCATTTGAAAAGTATATTTAAAACGAATTGAAAACATTGATAAATAGCAATAGATTTATTTATTTTTTCTTTTTTCTTCTTTTTTTTTTTAATACTAAATGATTATTTCTTAATTATTAATGTAATAAAAGTTACGTTATAATAATAAAAATTCTGAGATAATAAAATCAATTACTAAGTGGATTTTTACAGAATGGACGATTATTACTTTCCCATTGCAAGGAAAAATATTTTATAGAGTAATGATAGATAGCTCTTGTTGTGATTAACAATATGCAATCAAACAAATTCATTAAATGAAGTCTATCAGCGGCACAACAAAAATGCAAATCTCACAGATGGTAGATGCGTAACGGTCAATTTCACAAGATCACTGTCAAGGTTAAAGCAATAATATCACTTCTTAAGCTTTATTACACTTTAATCAGTATTCGCATCATAAACAGTCACTGATTAAAAGCTCTCTTTCTCATATAAAATATGGCAAAACTTTGGTCACAAAGTTAAATGAAAAAAAAAAAAAAAAAAAGCTAAAAGTGGGAACGTCCCTTTTCCGAATTACTTTCGACTTTTTCAACATACACTCATTAATACGTTACGCATTTTTCTTTTATATTGAATCATGTTTATGTAATTATTTGTTAAGTATAAACTATGCATATAACGATTTAAGTAATTTGTAGAGTATTATGAAGGTAACACTTAAATTGTACGGTTAATGGAAGTATTTGAGTCACCTATTGATAAGTCTTGAATACTCGTATGGAGTTCAGCATATTTTAAATTTATTTCAAATATTGCGTATTCTTTTGAGTAGTAGTAGTAGTACTACACACACACGCACACACATAAATATATACTATATATTTCAGAAATTAGAGCTCAGTCAAAAACTGATATTAATATTATATTACTCGTAAATATATTGAATATTTGAAAATCGTTATAATGAAGAAAATATATGTAAAATATATAAAATATTTCATGCGGCAACTGGATCTAATGATTCGTCTACATAATAATATTAAAATAAAATATTTTAAAGTTTTTATATCCTTCGATAATACTAATCAATGCGTCCGCCATTATCTTTTTCTTCTTTTTTTTTTTTTTTTTTTTTTTAAGAAATACTACTATTTTACAGCTGTGCATAATTAAAAATAAAATTTTATCAAATCCAAAGTGGATAAAGTAGTTAATTATATCAAGTGTTGAACACGTTTCTCATGCTGAATATAAATCTGATACCATTATTAATAGAAAATCAATCAGAAGAAATCAAAATTAATTATATTGAATAAGATTTAAGTATATATTATATATTTAAATAGCGCATAATAAAGAATAATGTTTCAAGTATAAAATAAAATCATTTTTAATCAGAGCTCGTTGCATTTCCTGATATTTAATTTTTTATAAGCATGTTTACAAAACACATGTATCAAACTCGTGTTTTATTAACTACTGTTTATTTTATTAAAAATATTATTGCAAAAATAATAAAATCAAGTAAACCAGTCGAATAATTTATTACTATTCAATTATAAGACAAGATCACAAAGTGAGTGAAAATTGATAATTATTGTCTGAGCAAACAGTTGTTTTAAATATTCGTGATGAAAATGTATTTTATTAATCATGCATACAGTGCTAAAATAAAAAAGGAAGCAAAAAAAAAAGTTTTTATTATAATTGAAAAAAGTAATATATATATATATATATATATATATGAAAGTCGTTATTAGTAAAAATATAAAGAGTAAAATTAACAATAAGATGTTGAATTAGAATTTCCTTTAACCAATTTAGAATTTACAAATATCGATGTATGCATATATAAAAAACGATTCCTTAAAGGACATATAAAATAAACACACCTTATGTGTATTAATATTGAAAGCAATATGATTTTCAAACAGAGAAGTAAAAAAATTGTTAGTGCTCAGATATCTTTATAGGATTTAGGATTAAACAACATTATCCTTGAAATTATAAGAAAATTATGAATTTGATACTTCAACTGAATAATTTGTTTTTCTTAATTTCATTTTATCTTATTATAAAAGTATAAACACTATTTATAACTTAATATTCATAATTCGAAATATAATTTTTAATTCGCAATTAAAAATTATATATATATATATATATATATATATATATATATATATCTTTTTTATTATCGAATAATTTTTAAATTAGTTTAAAAAACAATTTTTCTTCAATTTCTTTCAATTTAACATATATTTTAATATTTATAACTTGTTATGTATTTGAAACTTTCATCTTCAATATATACATATATATATATTTTATTTTTGATTCTGCTAAGGAATATCTATACACTTGAATTACAGGACAGTTTTGTGTTGAGCTTATAGAAATATTATGATTATTGCAGTCTATATTACTATTTTTTTTTTTCTATCAAAAGGATACTTAAAACAACAGACTCCGTTATAAATATAATTATTTTCATGTAATTGTTTGTCAAGGTGCTTTAATTGAGTTTGGTTCGCGCTACTCTTTTAATATTACCTTTCAAAACTAATTTAAAAAATTTTTGTAATAATATTAGAATGTGAGAAGGTTTCATGAATTGAAAACAGTTCTTGAATGTCGATTAATGTAATAAAACATGCAGATTATCGAGCGTGTTAGTGAAAGAATTTAAATTGTGATATTGAAATCGAATAATTGAAAATATCTAAAGCTAAGAAGATCTTGTAATCTCAGCTGCAATAAATCTTACGATTTAAAATCAAAATGTAAATTTAACGAAGACTAGGGTGATAAAGTTTTAATTAAATTGAACGCGTTTTTCCGTATACGTAAGTAAATTCTACGAATAAAGCAGAACTGCGAATAACATGGTGCAAAATATTTTGCAATAATAATATGGTATATCGGCGCTTGGTAATAAAATCGATGGTTATCGTTAAAATGTACGAAGAAGTCCCCCCCCCCCTCACAACACCCATAGAGTTAAATAGCTTTACAATTCTAAGATATGGAAACCAATAATCAATCGATTAATCGTTTACTCTATGATTAATATAGGACAATGATGATGTAAAGTTCTCATATCCGTGGATTTATTTGTTTGCAATATGATATAATAGAGAGGAAAATAAACTTGTTTTCGAAAGATAAGGTCGTTCATATTCGTGTAGATATGAGGTATCCTATAATTAAGGTGGCTTATGGAGAAAATCTTTTAACTGCAACGTGCGATAATTTCTATCAATTTCGCACTTTAAATGATATACTACTATTTGAATTAATTCGTGCATGTTATGTAATGATCAGTACATTACAAAGAAAGTATTTGTAGTTAAGATTATGTTTCCTCACACTACTGCATCAGAATGCAAGCATAACAATAATGTTCAATATTTATAAGAATGTGTATGTAAACACGTAAAATTGAGGATTTAATTTCGTTATACATTATCCATGGCCGTATGTATTGTCGTGTAATTGTATGTTCTGAGTTATGATAATCAACAATGAATAGCGAGACGATGACGCGCAGAAATGTCAAAAATATCAATGGACCCAACTAAGGAGATTATGTGGTCTAGACGAAGAAAGATTGTATCTACTTTTTATCGAGAAAGAATGCCTTAAGCGCACCGAGATGGAACAAGATAAATATATATATTATTTCGCGGACAAATAAAGGAAGTCGAATAAAATTTCAACATTACGAATCGAAGGATGTAGTATTTAAAAAAAAAAAAAAAAAAATGATGTATGTTTTTGTAGTCTTGCGTCACCGAGCATCGATTTATCTGTTATTACAAGTGCGTATTTTCGAAGTAAAATTTTGCTTAGTTTTTCAAACGTCTTCATGAAAATTACGAGGATTATAAATTTATAAAGGAATAAGAGAATAATTTTATTACAGCTTTTCAACTAGTGAACAATAAATATTATTATTTCATTTTAATATTTAATTTTAATAGCGAATAATATTCTAAAATTATAAAATCACACAATTATCCAACGATTATATAGAATATCAAAAGAAACTTAGTTAAACCACACATTGTTCCATTAAAAAGCATTAAAAAAATATTTACTTGAATTTTTGCATTTAATTTAATGTGTGTGTGTGTGTGTGTGTGTGTGTGTGCGCGCGCGCGCGCGCGCGAGCGCCCGCGCGTGTGTAATATAAACACTACATACTATAATAAAATAAATAATACTACATATCATAATAAGTGTGTAGCATATTATTAATAACTTTTTAAAATAGTTATTACGAGTATCACAATGAGTATCGAAAATATTCTACTTTTAATCCAGAAAGTTCCATTTTATTCCGTCACTTATCTAGCAACAATCGCTCCAGCCCTGACATTGAGCCTTTTCACTCTCTCTCTCTCTCTCTCTCTCTCTCTCTCCATCTTACTCGCATCATCCATATCTGATCCTCTATTTCTTTCACATTCATTGTGTCGATAGTGCAAATGATATTTCGCATTATTGAGCAAGAGGAATCGCTTGTCTGCCTGCGGCGACGAAGGATCTTCATGCGCACGTCAAGGCGGAATGGCTAAGCTCGAGCGACATTCAATGCCCGTGTAATGGTGCACGATACGACACGAGGTTGATCGTTTCGAAGGTTCATTGATCCTGCTTGGAAACAGGATAAGTTGAAATACAAGATTATGCAGTGACCCTCGATAGAAACGTGGATGAGTTGACGTGACGTGTTCGAATGGAGATTTAATTTTGTAGATCTTTACCTTCCGATTGTTTTTCCTCTTAAGAATATTACAGTAAACAAAAGCGAGTCGATTTATTATAATGTTTCATCCGACGAATAACAATCACGTGAAAATAAACTTACTGGAACTTATGGAATATTAATAAAGAAACTTGGTTTCAATTTATTTTGTACACAGTCGAAACTATGAATTAGAAATCACGTGAAACAAACAGCCGGTTCAATGCCCTACATGACTCATCAATGAAACATGTTTGTTTTTATGGAAACGTTTATATTATATTTTCATTATGAATTCTATATATTTACATTTGATTTATTTTCACGAATATTTTATGATAAAAATTTTTATTCATTTTGCATTGACAAACGTGCTGTACATTATTAAATTAAATAGTATTAACTAACTTATGCTTTCAAATAGTTTCGAATGCTTAATTTGAGAAGGAATTCTTTCATTGCTCCGAGCAAGATTTTTCTCTTATTGTTTTTTTTTTTAAATTCTGCTCGATACTTTATGAAGCACGAATTACAACTAGCATATTCTCAAATTTTTAACACTCGATAATTATTTTCCTACCTTCCTCGGCTTTTCTCAAGAATTCTGTCCAATAACTAATTGCCAATTAGTCGACAATTAATATTTACATAGACAATTATTAGTAGCGTAAGCTTTGCATAAATTTATAATTCGTAAATTTTATGAATTTTCACGATGACCTTAGCTGCTCTTAGTATGCTCAAATGTAAAGTAAAAATTTCAAGGAATTTCTGAAATACATATAACTTATATCACGTTCGTGCAAATATAAGACTATTTATTCTCTTAATGCGTTACGTGAAAAGGCTCTTAGAGATCTTTTCTCGAGTCTATTGCATTTGATATTTTTAAGACGGATCGAATAGGTTGTTAATGAGCGTGAAACCGCGCAGCTTAGACGAACAGGACACGTTGAGATAAATGTAGGATGGGACGAGACAAGAAGGTGAGGTATAAGAATTTAGGAAGGTGGAAACATTGGTAAGGATATATATAGAGGTCTGTGTTCGGAAAATATCGTCAGTCAGGACTTTGTTCTCGCATTTGAAGCTTCTGGCAGCCGAAACCGAAAGAAAGATGTCTAGTACTACTACTACTACCAACCTTGCAATGTCCATGTTATTATTGTGCTTTCTGTTTATACCCATTTATAGTAAGTATATTATGTCCAAGTACTTTTACAACGGATTATAAATTGTCGAATAGAATGGCGTTTAAAGGATCGATTTAGCTAAAAATTATTTCATATAAAATGAAAGGAATTTAGCCGGTATGGAGTAATTAGATAAATATCTACAATATCTTAAATTAATTATAACTTTGTTTTTTATTTTTTTTTATTTTTTTTTTTTTTTACAAGCTTAATTGCCATATATTAAAAAAATAATACAAAGTTCTTTTAACGCTATTGTTTCAATTAAATATAAATTATAACAAGGCATTAATAATACATTAATTATATTATATTTAAATAATGATATCGTTGTCAATATAAAATAATTTCAATTTTATATTCAATCTGCACGAAATTTATATCACTTGTACGAATTATCTCCAATACTTACTTAATTTTCGCGAATGAAATTTTTATTTTTTAGGAAATACTAGATTATGCTTTCTTGTCAATTAACGAGTTTATAATAAAATCCCAATTTCTCAGCTTGTAATACGAGATGTAAATATTATCCCTGTATATATGTAAATATTATCTGTAGATGTAAATATTATCTCAACATTTATAAAAACAAAATATCAATTAATAAACTTAATATTTGCAATAGAATAAGTTGAATAATAAGAATAATCATAATAAGTTGAAAATAATAATAATTGAAAAATAATAATTGAAAATAATCATAATAAGTTGAATTGTCAAATTAATTATAAATCTATTCAAATTCCATATAATTACTTATAATATCGAATAATTTTTAATACTTTCACTAGTTTCGATATAAATGACGCGTTTTACAATGAATAATTATATTTATGCAAAATAAATAAAAATACGTGACAAATATGAGTTTGCCTGCGTGTTTATTATTTATATCTAATAACACATTGTTGTCGATTACAATATATATATATATATATATATATATATATATATATATATATATAAAGACAAATGGTAATGAAAATTTCTTAAAATTAATGGCAGTGAATGTTCTTTGACAAAAAATTGTACGTGAAACATAGGACGTAATAAATAAAAGGGCTATATCGAGTTTCATTCTATAATCGTCTATAAAATTGTAAACTCTAGGTATCCCCGCACAAATCAATGAAAGAAGCAGATATTCTCCATTGAACCGACAAAAACGAACCTTTGGTTTGGGATTATTTGGATCACGTGATTGGCCGTCCTTTCATAAAACCTTGAGATTGCCCACTTTTTCAACAATACCAACTTTTCTGCACTTTTTTGACGAGGAGGAATTGTACGGTAATCTCATGAAAAAAATCTCAGATTTGGAAATCGGCCAGGAGCGTATCATCAATTATTTTCAACAATTGAATGGTAAAAGAATAATATCTTTTTGAAAATTAGCAGCATCGCGTACTTTCTTAAGTACCCATAGCTATATAAATCTCAAAGAGAAATCTTAAAAGGCCATTAAATGCTATTATTATTATTATTATTGTAAATTATCCTTATAAAATTGAAAATCATTAAATTGCCCCCGCAAGTGTTTGTCAATAATATCGTATATTATCACTCGAATTACATTTGATCTTATAAAATCAAGTGGCCATTTCCATTTCAATTCAAACACAATAGCGTTGTCTGTTGACAATAACAACATACAATAATAACCATAATTATCGCACTTGCATACGCTCGCCGTAACATAGAACATTGAAATGTATCAGCAACGGTAGCCACCAGCCGCACTTTCCATTTTCACGTAGCTTCACAAAGCCTATTACACGTAATTCGCATAATAATGAAATTAGCATTCAAATTTTCACATCTCCGCGAGCGCCTAACAGTACCAACGATCTTGCCTCAAAGAAAAAAACCGGCCAATTCTCACACGAATTCGAACGCGTTTACCCAAAATTCACCACTAATGTTAAATGCTCGTGTAATTTCTCCGAACAGCCAATAAGAATGCAAATCCATGCGAGACCACGTCAACGAGCACGATTAAGTCGTCATTGTCTAACGTCCCAGAGCCCGACGTCGACATCCTCTACCGGGAGCCGATGACCATTGCCACCTCCACCGCTGACGTAACCATTACCAGCAGCAGCAGCAGCAGCAGCAGCAGCAACAGCAGCAACAGCAGCAACAGCAGCAGCAGCAGCACCACCACCACCACCACTACCACCACCACCACTAGCCAGGAGGCAGTGACGGAGCCTGCAACCGAGTTGTCGAGCGTCGAGACGAGCGCGGAGACGAGCGCCGGGACGAGTGCAGAGACGAGCGCGGAGACGAGCGCCGAGACGAGCATCGAGACGTCAAAGGATGAGGATGAGGAGGTCGCCGAACTGGATATCGCGACAGTGCCTCCTGCTCTCGAGGACATCATGCGCGTTCATGATGACGATATGACGGAAAAGAACGAAGTTCTGTAATTCCGAGGGTCACGTTCGCAATCTCTTTTAAGCGCGAGCGAGACAATACTCGTACGGGTAGGATGAACTCGAGGAACATTTAAGGATGGGGAAGAAGAACCTGCCGCTCGAGATTCTCAAGCTTGTCAAATAACGGGAAACTATTGTTTCGGAGTCTTATTACTCAGACTACGTGAGTGAACGAACTCTGCCGTTATGACTATTCATTATTATGTAATTATTCTGTCCGCTCGCGGGACATTATTTTTCGTAAGAATTCTTAATTTATTAACTCTCGCCTCCTCATATGCATTTATCGTGCAACTGACCCGACAAGTATTATACTTTTTATTAACGATTTAGATCATTGATAATGTTTTATTAGTTTAGAGATTGCAATATTTTTACAGATTTTATAAATTAACGTTACGCGAATAAGTATAAAGTATTCAGAGCTTTAGATATCGTACTTATTAACATTCCTATTAACTTAATCGAGCTCGTATAGTGTCTAATATAATTTAATTTAGTAATTTGATTGAATGTTAATTTATTCTCATTTTGAGTAATTTACGACAAAGATAAAAACGAATTTAATTGTATAATATTATTTTACCAATCGTGGATTGACATTTAAATAATTTTAATTGACCAAAAAACAATAAGCTAAGTTTATTTAACCAAGCACTTTTTGTTCTCTGTAATATTAGATAATAATATGTCATAATGTAATAACAGCTGTGTACTTATGATTTATCGAAAAACACTTTTATACAATTATTAATTTTAAATAAAAATATGACTATTAACGAGGGATAGCATTTCTATATTACCATAAGCTAATTTATTAAAATTGCTAAGATTAATAAAATATATTATTAAAAAGAAAGAAGGAAAAAAATTTAATTCAATTATTTCTTATGACGTGTTTATTTAACACCTTGTAAATAAATGATAAATATAATTTATCCCGAATGAGCGCCAAGTGTATATTTTAAGTTGAAAATTATGGAAAATTTTAACCAAATAATCAAATAACTATAATACTTTATTGTCTAATAGTTCATAATAGAAGAATGACAAATATTTTTTTGCCTTTCCTCTTCAAAGTAGCCTTCGATAAAGTGTGACGTCTCGAACAATTAAAATGACACAGAGTGACCCAACAATAGACATAAAATTTTAAGATGAATTCTTTGGAAAGAGAAAACCAAGGCTTTTCAAATTTTTATTTTGTATAATTATTGTTTTACTAACTTACCCTATGAAAAACTTTATAAAATTCTTTTATATAAATGACAATATTTCGAAACGGGCAATTATTTTAAAGCAAGTATTTTACCGTAAAACCTAATTGGTTTAAAGATTGTGAAATATCTAGATACGCATGAATTGAAGAAATAGGCATGAATTTTCAATAATAATAACAACAGCGGTGAAAAGTTTTTTCTTTTAAATTAGTACAACACAGCATTTAAAATCTTTTCTAAATTTTATATTCTTTGATATACATACACACACACACACACACACACACACACACACACACACACACACACACACACATATATATATATATATATATATATATAGATACAACTACACGTACAATGAAATATTAATATTGAATTTTTGACAAATTTTGATAAAAAAAAAACAGTAAAAGATCATTTAACATTAATTACATTTTTAAAAGTTTTCTACCAATTAGGAATTTATAGAGGAGTTGAAAATTTCATTTGATAATTTAATAATAAATATAAAATTATAATTTTCTATATAATAAAAATTATTAATTATCAGCAGTGATGTATTATCTAGAATATTCTCATTTTAAATCTATCTATTGGTGCTTTGGGGGGGGGGGGATATGTCGACTTGTATTTGAAATTAAATTGGTTTTCATAAACAACTTGTATAGAATAAAGGATTTTCTTACTTTAGTGATTACTACCGTCATGGGCAATAATTACAAGTGTTGTATTTTAATTGATTTCGTTTTACCATGTCTTTTAAAAATATATTGTTGCTTTTTTTTTCTTTTTTTTCTTTTTTTGTAAAATCCAACACATTTTCATTAAACACTGTATACAATTGGCAGGTACTCCATAATATTTGCATATAGAAATTCAGTGATCCACGTAAATTAAAAAGACTCGAATCGAGTGTTTCTGTAAGACATTGGCATGCAGATTAAATTCTTATGTAATTTTAAAACTCTTACGTAATTTTAAAAACTATTATTCGATTTATATAAGTTAGATGTCACCGCTTCATTTTCTTTTATAGAGATTCGTTAAAACGCAATAATTTAAAGTTTTCAGTAAAGTAGTATTATTAATAATATTATTCTTATGGTAACATTCAACGGTCGTTGCTGTTTTTGTTTAAAAAAAAAAAAAAAAAAAAAAATAATGAAATAAATAATTAAAATGAGTAAAGGCTCGTATCATAATACGAATAGGATGATTTTCCTATCGGATCATGCTAACGAGCATCGTTGAAAGAGGCAAAGGGCAATTGCACAAGGAAATTATATTTTCTATAAAGTTTCACATATCTTAATAATGCAATAAGGATATCGATGGCTTATACATCGCGTCCGCCATGACATCCCCTATGAAAGCGATTTCACACGCGACTTTTCTAATTGGACAGAAAACACGTGCTCGTCCGTGCTTGCGTTTCGTTATTAAGCGCGAGACATTATTAGCCACACCTCGTTTTGGCGTAAAAAAGAAGCGGCGAGATGTCGTCGTAGATGAGTATCAAAGTGCTTGTCGCTGACTGGTGGTGGGGCGTCGTAGGAAGCAGCAGGAGGCCAAACGCATCGGAAGCCGAGTTTAATGGAAGAAGGGAAATAGGCAGGGGACATGACATGACGGTGTATTAAGATCCTTACCACGCAGGAGGCGATCGGCGACGCGCGGCCGGAATGCACAAGAAGCGCCGCGGAAGCTAAAACACACCCGGCCATCTCGTCCTCCCTCGAGGCCGCGAAGGAAAAGGATACTTTCGCCTCACGGCACCGTAGCCGTCGTTACTCAAGCGAATAGCCTTAGCCCAGTCGCGGCGGTGCCTCGGTATTTCCGAAGGTCGCGCGCGTCGCTCCTCGTCAGCGTAATTTCCAGCGCGCGTATTTTCCCAGAGAGCGAAGGGCGTCGACGGCGACTGGACGGCGAAAGGCGAGAGACAAAAGCAGCGGCGGACGGCACACGCGAACTGTCACGAAGTAGGACGTCGCGCGCATTCATAATCGCGGGCGTTAAGGTCGATCGTACTCTTTAAAAAGGGGGCGATCGTCGGGAGCAGACCGTCAGAGCTGAACGAGTCATGGTGCGCCTCGAGTGTTGCCTCCTTCTCCTCCTCCTCGTCCTGGGCCTCGCGCAGTGCGGACGATCCGGTGAGTGACACAGCTCCTGGGGATCGCTAATTGGCGGGCGGGGTGAGGGAGGTGGCGAGTTAGTTAAGTTGGGCTTGGATGAGGATCGGTTGGATCTCGTCGGGTTGGGTGCGTGATCACCCTCGTCCCGGTGGCGTTAAATCACCGCCGGGCGTCGACTAGTGCGGGACGAGAGTCGAGTGCACGACGTCGACGAG